ACTGTGGACTTGGGCTCTTCTAATCATTACCCCTAAGGGAACCTTCAAGGAACCACTCATTATTGTGGCTTGATCTAGCTGTCTGATCCCAAAGCTCAGTCCATCCCAGGGAGGATGTGAAGAAGAGTTGAAAATAAATTTAGATAATTTTTTCTTCCACACCCAGGCTTCCTGGGTAAGACTAGGACTCTCTAATGAAATCTAAGGTACAGCTGCTTTGTGAAGTGAAGGAAAGCCCATGTTTCGGGCTTTCTCTTGACACTTTTCAGAGGAATATGATGTCTCTCAGCACGCGAATGACCTGAGGGAGTGGGGAGACAGGATAATAGACACTTTTCCCCTGGGCATCCTCCAGAATCCTCCACCCTTGCCTCTAACAGTATAGTATTACAAGCAAACCAAATTTTCATCCATCTGCCTCAGAGAGATCTTCAAAGAGACCAGGAATCCTGGTGGCAGCTCAGGCTGTTCCCTTGCCCCACTCTTATACCCCCAAATCTGCCCCTGGAGTATTTATTTTTCATTAGATGACTGGTGAAATCAATTTTGGAGGTATGTAAATTTCCACCAAAGATATTTTTTTTTCCTCCTCCCACAGGCTCCTAAGGAGATAATTCATTGGAACAAATTATCACTTTTAATTGTTCTCAGTTCTTGATTTGTTTAATACTCTACTGCCAATTACTGTTCGCTTCTCTTAAATAGACTAACCTGCATGTTAAATTCAGGCTTCCGCCTTTTAAAAAAAATAAACATAGCGAAGTAATTGACAAGAAGGTGAGGAGAAGCCACTTAAAGGTTTAATTTGTTTATTAGACCTTCAGGAGAGGACTCCCCGCTGAACCTGAGGTGGGCTGCTCTCCATCTTCTACTTTCCTGTCCCCCTCCCTCCCCTACAACACCCAAAAGAGAATCCCTTGAGACAGAATCCAGCTTCTTTTTCTTGTTACTACCCCACCTTAAGGTACAGAGTTTCTGTGGGGCTGGTTTCTTTGCCTCCAGAAGGCTGGGCTGTAACCTGTCTCCTTTCCCACAGCATCAGCTCCACCTACAGGAGGAGGGTCTACTCTCAAAACAACACAACCGGGACCACCCTGGAGTAAGACAGTGTTTCCACTCCAGAGACTGGGGAAGCCTGCAGAAGTTGTGGGTTGGAGGAGACCCTGGGGTTTGTAAGTCCCATTGTCTTTCTCATTGGGACCAAGTAAGAGGTTTTTCTTCTTTAGGATAGGGTTGGAGCAAACTTACTAATTCCAGAATGTTAGAGAGAAGCCTTCTCCCTTCCCAGATCTGGCTTCTAATCGCAGCTATTTTCTCTTTCAGCAGACTCTAAGATGGACATAGAAGACTGCAATGGCCGCTCATATATGTCTGGTATGCCCTCTTGTGCATTCTGTTTGTAACGGGCTGGAAGCAGCCACTCGCCTGTGGAGCAGAGTGGAGTCCAGCCTTCAGCCTAACACAGGACCTCAGGTGCCCCAGTCACAGAGCTGCCACTCATGCTTGGTAGTGCTTGGTAGTGTGCATCTATTTTATCATTTTATATTCCCTAAATAGAGATTCTCTTCCCAGACTTCTTGGGGGTTAAGGGAAGGGGAAGGGAATAAGAGGAGAATACGAGTGGAGACTATTAGAGAGGAATGATTTAAAGCAAAGAGACAGAAGGAAGATGTAGGTCCTTCTCCTATACTCTGAGGTCACCGGCCAAACATGATATTCTGTCCCAGCCAGGTGGAGAGTGGAGCAGGGTTTCAAACCTCAAAGGCCTGTAGGGGCCAGATTAAACAAATCAAGAACTGAGAACAATTAAAAGTAAATTAAATGTAAATGAGTGAATGGGGTTAGGATAATGCACAGAAGAGAATGTGGGGACTGTCATGTACTAGAGAACACATGTCCTACCTCAAGGAGCAAGAGCTCCTCAGTGTCCATCAGTCATTGTCATGCCCGAATGTGTATCCAATGTGGCCAAAACTTCCAGTTTTTCAAGAGAAGTCAGGAATCCAGATTTTATGTGAAATGTCTCCGTTTTAGAATAATGACTCAATATTTTAAAAAATGTTCCATGGAGCAAGCCAAACTTGTCCATGGGCTAAATTCAGCCAGTGGGCCAACAGCATAGAGCCTTTGAAAGAGAGATATAGAGCCCAGTTCTCATTTCCCCCAGTCCTTTTCCACTGTCATAACATGCTGTGGCTTTGCATACCTGCCAAATACTCTTACGAAGGCAGAGATCGTATGAATGGCTTTTAGAGAGATGAAAGTAATTGGGGTCGTTTCAGCGTTTAACAAGGTAAAAAGATATGAGGACCTTTATCTGGCTCCCTCTCTGAGGGTGTAGAGAAGGGCCTAAGACAGTTTGTCTCTAAGACAGAAGGAATCATTTTTTGGACCATTAGAATGTCAGGGCAGGAAATGATTATAAAAGGTAAGGGAAGCCAGAATTGGGTTTTGACATGATGAGGATGCCCATCAGAAATCCAAGCACCGCTGTAGAAATGACCTATAGCTTATTTTTTTTTTTTACCCTGAAGTGGGACCAATGGAATTATGGGCACGTTCAAAGGATGATAGCAAGATGGGTCAGACACACATATAAGAGTCATTGGCAACACCTGGGTAATGTAAGGTAAGACACTGACTCTGACCCCTTTCTCATTTAAGGAGGGAAGGAGTTGGAATGGGTAAAGGCATTTGATACCTGCCACATGCTGGTCAGAGTGACAGGGACCAAGTGGACTGATTTAACTGAAAGAGATTTATTGGAACAAAGTCATGGCCCTTCTGAGGAACCAGCCAGTCCTTCTCTCTCCTGCTCAGTTAAGCCTACTCAGAAAACCACTACTGAGCAACAGCCACACTCTGGACCCTGTTGTATTGCTGGGGAACACGGAGATGGATAAAAACCAGTCCCTGTCCTAACGTAGGTAAATGAGAAACTGAGAAAGTGGCTGGGGAAATAGCCCATGGAGCTCTGTCTCTGGAGAATGTGGATTAGAGGAAAACCTCTTAGGGTGTTTGCTTCATTTGCTATGAATCCAAATTTTCCCTGCTTTCAGCACGTTGACATTTCTGAGATAAGAGAAGCCTCTGCACAGGATGGTATTTTTTGAATGAAAGGGGAAGCCAGAAACCCCTCACCTGTGTTTTGAGAATTCTAGATGCCAGCAACTACCCTAGAGAATGGGAAAAGGGAAAGCCAACATAGGGCTAACATTAGTTCTGAAAAGTAGCCCCTGCAGGGTTGGGCATGGCTGAGACAGTCCACGTGAGGGACATCTGAGAGCCCAGCACTGACCCATCTCTCCTGGGCCAGTATGCAAGCAGTGGGAAAGGCTGTTGCGTGTACCCCTCCTCAAGCACACTGTGGCCCTTCAAGGTCATCACAGCTCTTCTGTTTCCACACCAGGTGGGCTTCCCTCACCTGGTGGCCTTCCCTCACCTGGTGGCCTTCCGTCACCTGGCCACGTGATGAAGGGGGTATCTCTCCTGTTCTTCAAAGAGATTTTCCCACCTCACAGAACCCAATTCAGAAAACCCAGCCTCTCTCCCCTTGTCTCTTTCTAAAGGTGCAGGTCACTCCCTCCTGGGGTCTTGAGAGAGGGAGGAGGAGTCCATTAACTTAACACATGGATTCTCTCCCCACCTCCATTCCATATCTTTCAGGGGAAACTGAGTTGCTCAAACCCAGCTCATGCAATTAATTGACTGAGCAGTGCTTGTCACAGTTTTCTGTTTAAGGGAACCTTAGAGAGGGATCCAGGGGTAGGCAGCCCAAAGTTTCATGGCCCCTCCCACCCCCAAATTCTTGGAATCAGAAAATCTAGTCTCCAAAGTAGGTCAGCACGTCAGTGAGCAGCTCCTCTGGAAGGGAAGGGAGCAGAGGCCTTGTCTTGATAGAAGGCGGATTCGTCCAGGGCTGTCGGCTGCTGGGCCCCAGGGGCACTGGAAGGGAGGGCCGCGGAGGTGGGGAGACTATACCGGGATTTTGCCCGGGATCTGAGAAGCCTCAGGGCCACAGAGCAACACTAGCCCGAGACCAGACTGCTGGGTCTTCTCACTGCTGGGAAGGAGGGGGCTGTCTGTCCCCAGATCTAGAGAGCGGCCTCCCTCCTGGAGGAGGAGGGAAAGGAGGGAATCTGAGCGCCCGAGTTTCGTGGGGGAGGGGCTTTCTGCCGATCTGAGAGCCTTGAAGCTGCCCCATGTCCTGGGCCCCATGACCTCTGGGGCCTTGGCTTCCCCAGCTGGCAGAGGATTGGGCTTTCCCTGGGGGCCCCCCTTTCTCCCTCCCACCTCGAGGGCCCATCCATCTCTCTCTCTCTCTCTCTCTCTCACACACACTCTTGCCTCTCTCAGGCATTTGTTGTGCAGTTCCTCTTTGTCTGCTGGGCACGAGGGCAACGGCATCTGCCTCCCCCTCCCTGTGCACACCCCCCACCCCCACCCCTTTCCTGGCTTGGGAAAGGGATGCTGTAGCCTAGCATCCCCCCCCACCCCACCAGACACACATATACATTCTCTCCAGCCCCCTCCGCAAGCACATCCAAGCGTGTGCGCTCGCTTGCGCTCTCCCTCTCTCCCTCTCTCTCTCACACACTCCCTCTCTCTCTCTCATACACACACACCCTGGGCTGAGCTCCTCTTGCCGGCTGCAGCCGTGGGCCCCCGCTCACCGAGCCGCTGCCTGCGAAATGACGGCGGTTCCCCTCACTTCCAGGAATCCGCGCTTCCTGGAAGGTGAGTGGCTGGGCTCACCCCTGCCTGCCACCGAGACGCAGACATGCACACACCACCCGCACTCCCTCGCCGTTTCCAAGGCGGCGGCCGCGTTCGCACCCCAGGGGCTCACCGGCAAGGGAAGGATAATGTAAGTTCAGGCAGAAGGGGGCTAGCGGAGGGGGAAGGGGGGTTGCCGGGGCTAGGGAGCCGATTCAGTAACTACTCCCAAGCCTGAGGAGAGGGAGAGGATGGGGGCCGCGCGCGCGCGTGTGAGTGTGTGTGAGTGTGAGTGTGAGTGGCGGGGGAGGGGGCGTTCCTCCCTACACTTGCGGAGGATGGGAAGGGTGTTTGGTGTTGCTAAGCAAAGACTGCGACTTGGACAGTGGGAGCTTGTGGTGACATCTTGATTAGGCCTTGGGGACAGATGTAGAGCTGCCCGAGGGGGAAATGCCGAGACAGGCCTGGGTGGGAATGGGTAATAGAATCGAGGTAAAGAAGAACCTTGGCAGCAGATGCCTCACCCGGGAACAGAGATCTGAGGGGCCTCAGCCTCTTCCCCACAATAGAGCTGGGGATGGGCGTCTTTCTTCGCTCCTGTACCCACTGTTTCCTGCTAGCAGGTTAGCATCCTGCCACCCCGGAGCCCATGGTCAAGAAAGGGAAAGCAGTTAGGATGAGAGCAGAGAAGTGTGGAGGTTCTTGGACCTCATGGCTGTTCCCTAGAGGCAGCCACTCTTTGAAGGGATCGAGGAAGGGCAGCAGGAGTGGAGGGCTAGTCTCCTTCAGCATGTGAAACACATTTAGCTTGTGGGACATTGCCTTGTTTCCTCTCTCTCCCTCCTGCTTTTCTGCCCTGGACCCACCTCCTTGTTCCTCTGATGTCAACCTCATGATTTGGCTTTACCCTCTGGGGGTTCAGCCAATCTATGATGACTGTGACCAAGAACATTTCTCTGAGACCTGAGAGTGGCCTTAATTCTTGGCTTTGACAGTCTGGGATTTCTTGGGAGTCCCAGGCATTTGAAGTTCCCTCCCTGGGGTTTCTGGGACCGACAGAGGAACTGCTGAACTTCCTAAATCTGTCTCTAGGCCCCTTCACCCTCCGGCTAGAACTCAAAATCCCTGGGTCCCTCCCCATAAAGACTTTCTGGCCCCTGAAACAGATTCATTTTTATGTATTAGCCCCAGAAAAGCAGACTTGAGCCTATTTTCCCTAGGGATGGCAATGGCATCAAAGAGCCTCTCGAACTACTAGGCTGGCTCTGGAGGCACCTGCTCTTCCTCCTGTTCCCAGGCCTTCATAAGGAAAGGCACAAGGGATGTTTTCCTCTTAATGCCCCTAAATACCCCTTTAAGCATATTTTCTCCATGTATCAAGCCCCTGGCTCCAAGAGGCAGTCTCACCCTAGTAGGCTGGGACTAGAGATGGATTTCTAGCAAGTTTACTCATTGTTTTAGGGTCAAGGACTCAGCACCAGGGCCCAGAGTCCAGTTCTTCCCCTATTACTAACATCAAGTGATTTAGGGCAAGTCAGCACTAACGTCTGAAAAGGAACGAAGAGATGCCCCTTTTAGCCCCTTTAACCATAGCAAACCCTACCACTTAGTTAAAGGACGTATTTTAAAACTAGGTCTGAATCTACACATCTCAACCCTCAACTCTGAGATGTTTACTTCATGATATGTATGTGGTTCTGACTTGGGCAACTTTTCTAGATAACCATGGCTCATCTAAAGAGCCCCAGCTGGGACAACTCAGTTTCAAGCTATAAGGCATTTTCTATAGAGAGTGAACAAATTTCCTCAGGCTTTGATGGGAAAGAATGGGGGAAATGGGACTTTTAGAAGAGGATATGAATGGGAAATGGTCCCAAAGTCCTGAGTGGTTGTTTTCTTCCCACTGACCAAAGCTGGAGAGGGATCCCTCAGGAGGGTGTGTTCCGGATTACTTGCCTCAGGCCCAAGACTCCAACCATTTTATAATGGAATCTTTATTTTGTGAAAGTAAGTATGTGCATAGCTGGGAAATTGGGTAAAGTACTAATAGGTGGACTTTAGGGATGAATTTTAGGGCTCGTGTCTTTCTTTCTCTCTTCCATATTTAGGCTTGTGTGTACACATCCATGCATGTTCACGTTAGCAGATAATGTAGAAGGCTATGGGTGTGTTTACCCCTATAGGTATGTTCTCTTCATGTGTAACTACATCTGTGATATGTGTCTGTGTCTATGTGTGTGTTTACCTACATGTGTTTTATTTCACCTATAAATTTGTGCACAAGATTGTGGGGAGGAGGGATTTTTTTTTTTAAAGACATGATTCATATCTTCATGTATGTTAACTAATTTTTAAAGATACATACGAAACTCTTAAAATTCATTTTTACAAAGCAATGTGTCAACACGTTAACAACAAACATACTGAGAATAAACTCATTATTTTACTGTCAAGGGAACATCGAGCAATAAATATGTGACTGGAATCATATCAGATAGGAGGCTTTCTGGAGTAGTCAAATTTGTGCTGATTACAGAAGGTCTAATGGGCCTAATGCTCCCATTAGAGTTCTGCTAAAACAGTGATTCCCCACTGGTTGCAGAGGTGGTGGCTCAGGACATGGGTGCTTACGATCTATGATCGGTCCGGGTTCCACCTCTACCAGCTATGTGACCTTGGACAAGTGCCACAGCCTCTTTTATGCCGCAGTTTTCTCATCTGCAAAATTAAGATACTATTGGCACCTGCTTCATAGGGCTGTTGTGAAGGTTAAATGAGATAATTGGTATAAAGTGAATAGAACCAGGCCTGGCACAAAGTGAGCACTCAATACATGTTAGCGGCTATCGTTATGATTACTATTATTATCATTAGATTCAGGGACCATTCCAGCTGCCCTTCCTGCAGATCCCGAACCTGGTGTTGGGGGCTCCGGAAAGGAACAGTAGGGAAGAACGTCTGTCCTGAACCGCCTCCCTCCTGAGGCCCCCATTTTCCTCTCCACCCTGGCCCGCCCAGCCCCAGCCCTGCTTCCTGTGGACGTCAGGCAGTGATGCTCTTCCCCTCAGGCCTAGATAAAGGTAGGGTGGGCAAGATGCAGCCACTGAGCTTGCAGAAGTCCGCACCAGGCACCCGGCTGACGAGGGCACAAGGTATGGTGCCGAGCACACAACACTGCCTTGTACGTGGCTACAAGATGAATGTTTGTGAGACGTCACAGAATTTTGAAGAGGTGAGGCAACGGACGGTAACAGGCTCCAGCTGCAGCTTCACCTGTCCTCTTGTTCTCTCCTCCAAGGTAGCGGGGACTCATCTCTGGAGAAGGAGTTCCTCGGGGCCCCAGTGGGGCCCTCGGTGAGCACCCCCAACAGCCAGCACTCTTCTCCCAGCCGCTCACTCAGTGGTAAGTGCAACCTTCTGCCCTGCCCTGCCACTAGGCGCCCCCATTTGTGTTTGGCCCGCAGTTCACCCTCCATGGGCAGCCATTTTCCCCATCGCTGCCTCCCTCTGGTTTTCTGCTTCGAGCCTCCAAAAGCAGTACGGAGCTCAGCATCTAGGGTCTTCCTGACTTCTGAAAGGAGAGTGAACAGTTGCTGCCAGACTAGGGTAGAATTAAAGGAGGCATGGGTGGGATTAAGGTAAAGGCTCCAAAGAGAAATCCTGGAGTTGGAGACACAAGTACATAGGAATGGTCACAAGGTAGAGCCAGATAGGAAACAGAGATGAGAGGGATCTCCTCATCACCTGCCCCTTCCCCCTCCCGGCCCTCATTCTCCTGCCTGGATAGGGTCCCCATGACTGCCTCTTCTTGCTGGCCCTAGATCTGTGACATTCTCTAAATGGTTGGAATAGCCAGGAATGTAGGTCAGAGCTAGAGCCAAAGCTTTCTCCTCAGTGGCTCCTCCCTCCTTCATCCCCCTCTCCAGATTTTCATGGAGGGGAAATAGAGGGGCTCAGTCTTACGGGGAGGGAGGATAATGTGAGCCATGTCTGTCTTCCAGTTTTGCTCTCTCTTTAGCCCGCCATCTCTTTGGTCTTCCTAGGACCATTTTCCCGCCACTGTTACTTGCTGGCTTCCTGCCCAGGGCCAAGCCAGACATCTTTCTTAATGACAAGAGAGTGAAGAAAAAGGCTCCCCTTAGCCTCCTCCTCTCCCCAGTGGAATAGAAGACATCCCATGTACCCCAACTTTTTTTCTCTTGGAGCCTATTTGCCTGGGCAGTGGGATGGGAGGAAAAAGTTGCTTCAGGTCCCGGCAGGACCACCATATCACCACCCAGGAGACTTAGGGTGTTGGCCTCTTTGAAAGCCTGCGTGTCTCAGGGCTGGGAGAAAGCCTTCTGGACCTCAGGAGTACCATTCTGGTTTGCGGGCAGGTTCCCCCTTTTGCCTGTTTCTGTCCTAAACACCATCCCACCCTCCAGCCAACTCCATCAAGGTGGAGATGTACAGCGATGAGGAGTCAAGCAGACTGCTGGGGCCAGATGAGCGGCTCCTAGAAAAGGACGACAGTGTGATCGTGGAAGACTCGTTGTCAGAGCCCCTGGGCTACTGTGATGGAAGTGGGCCAGAGCCTCACTCCCCCGGGGGCATCCGGCTGCCCAACGGCAAGCTCAAGTGTGATGTCTGCGGCATGGTCTGTATCGGACCCAATGTGCTCATGGTGCATAAGCGCAGCCACACCGGTGAGTAAGCCGGGGGTCCAGGAGGGGCTCCGGGGGGGCTAGGAGGCCATGCCTGCAGTGGGCTGGCCTCAGACAGAGAAGCGTCTCTCCCCGCACATTTCCCAGCTGATGAAAAAAAGGAGGGGATGGCATTTGGATTCCCTCAACATTCATACTTCTCTGGCACTTTCATCAGCTGTCGTTATAAAGAAAAGCTGATACTTTTCTCAGAAGGTGAGGGAGACGATGGTGTAGCCTCAAGAAGGGTCCTAGAGTCCAACAGGGACAGGACTCCAGGGTATTATTTGGGCCCTCCGGTCTCAGATTTAAACACACAAACAAATAAACAAAAACAAAAAAAAGGAGGGGCGCCTGGGTGGCTCAGTTGGTTAAGCGACTGCCTTCGGCTCAGGTCATGATC